TTTGGTTACTTATGAATTTTCAGCCAAGATTCACATTTCAGTGTGTTTTGGATCACTGCAACAGAAGGAGTGAGGATGCAATTTGCAGTCAGACTGGATGGAAATACTGCAAGCTTAATTGTTTCAAGATTGGCTCGGCAGAAAAAGAAGTCAAATAATTAAAAAAACAATAACCCAATAAAGAAGCCATAACCGCGAATTTGCTCTGCGAGTTTCCGAAGCCAGATTGAGCCTGTTACTATTTTATTATTTTACTCGAAAAGCCTGAGTTTGGCTATTTAGTGCCAGGCAGACAAAACTGCTCCAGTCACCAATGAAATCATTTAATTGGTGATAGAACTAATCAATATCATACCAGTTACGGGACTTAAAACGGAGCAATTGTTGATGTGGAAGCACAATAATTTTCTCTCAGCGATTTTGTTTGAAAATATTCAATTTTTGAAGAAACGTTCAGGTGCCAATTTCATACTCTGTTAAGAGAAACACCTTTTGATTTTCTCTGTTAAGAGAAACACCTTTTGATTTTAAGACATAAAATGGGCCGGATGTGTAAGTTTGCCAGAACTGCTGAATTTCATTTAATTGGTGATCAGTTAAGATTGATAATCATTGCTCAGCTCAGATGCCCAGTGAACATTCCTAGCTATTTCGGGGGAAATATTTACAAAGGCTGATAGGAACTCACTCCATCCAACTTGGTGCAGGAAACAGCCATCACCACGAAGAATACCATTTTCTCTCCCTTAATTTTCCTGAGAAAAAGAAATCACCACTCACATATCAAGCAGCGTTCTTGGCAAACAGATTAAAAAGTTTTAATCTTGTTTGACACTCCCAGTTACAGGGAAATTATCTAGGATCCCGCAGGCAAAAATTCTGCTTGAATGTTTGATGCATGGTGTAAAAGCTGGAGCAAAATTATAAGACGGTGATCCAAGTTTGTGGCAGCTCATTTTGCCAGGGTCTTTTTCAGTGAAATTGTGCCCCCCAAGACCAGGTGTAGAAGAGATGCATCTTTAGTATAATTCAGTATTTGAAAGAATCAGAGAGATTAATAGTTTCCAATCAAGGCAGCAAAACTAAGTTAAAATATAATGTATTTCAGATTTCCCCATATGCTCTGTTAAAGACACGGGGTAGCGGTTAAAGCATTGGACTGGCACCGGGGATACCCACGTTCAACCTCGCAGGGTTGTTCTTGAAGGAGGAAAAATAGAGAAGACAGAATGCCTCGTATGCTGCCCTATACCCCTGAATGAAAAAGCAGGTTATAAACTAATCAATCAATGGTCAATCAAAAAATGATATTGATGTAGGACGCATGAAGAAAATGTATTTGATGGGCTGCTTCATCTGGCCTCCAGATCTCGAGTTTTAAAAAATGGAGTGTTTCTGTTAGCTGAATTAACGGCTGCATAAAAATCAATAAATGCCACATACAGTTTTCACCCCTTCCTTATCACATATTGATACACAAAGAGTTCTAGAAGTCATCTATTGAAAATCCACCTTGTTTTTTAATCAGGCCAATCTTTCCAACAGCCCAGCCTTTCGGTCTCGGCAGCGGTTGGTTGGTTGATCTCTTTTCTTGCCAACTGGAAGAACGATCAAGATAAACTTAATTTTAGTTTAGTTTTAATAATTAATGTATTAATCTGTGGATTTATCCAAGAGTGGAAGAAAATAAGATGTGGGTGTTTATAAATAATAAGATGGTGTTTAGATTGCAGTTCAGGGTGTTGTGCAAGGGGATTTGTCAGTAGCTTGCCTCTCTGCCCGGATCCAGAATCTTTCAAAACACACAAATAACCAGGACTGTCTTTTTCTCTTTCTTTCCTTTTTCTCTCTCTCTCTCTTCCCTCCCTCGAGAGACCAGGATTCAGTTAAAAGATGTGTGCGTGTTTCCTCTCTGCCAGCAAGATTTTTTTAAATTCTTTTTTTAAATCCTTCTGGGGTTCCCCTTGGCCTCTGTGCTGATGGCTTGTCCTAGTCGGGCTGTGCTGTAGCACAACATAACTGCACACTAAAGAAACCTCTCTTTGTGGTTATCCTGTCACCTTCTGACTCTTTGCAGGAGAAGGAAGACCACTCTTATTACACTCCCAGGGGTCACTCCCTTTACTCTCGCATTTCACCTGGAATTATTGCAGGGGAAAGAAAGAGCACAGCACCCCATAGCATTTAATGTGCTCCAGGTGTTAATGGCATAGATTATGCAGAATTGTAGTGTCACTCTCTAATGTGCTTAATAGAGAGATGGGATTGCACAACATTGCACAAGAAAACACATTTGAGAGATTCCGAGATGATGGAAACTCTTAAATGAGTGGGGAAAATGTCATTTTATGGGACCTGATCTCCTGCAGCGCTCCGCAAGGTCACCCTTGAGCACGACCCGACCCGTCTGCTTCAGAGTCCCAACCGGTAGAAATTTATAGGTTGATCCTACTCAGTGCCTCCAAACCATGATTCTTGCTTATAACCACGATTCCCAAGACACGTAACCCGTGCAGATTCTGTGAGGGCCATTCGTTGCTGGTGCTGGAGTCGGCCTCCAGGCATGCCGGAATCAGCCATTTCCCCCTCCTACTGATGCGACATCATCATAATAATGTAATAACACCCCCGACTTAACCACTGTTGATAAGACTGACGAGAAAGCCTGGATGGCGGACACTGCCACGCTTGGAGACAGCAGAAGAGGAGGAAACGGGAGAAAATCGCAAGAGGCGAAGGCCTGCAAAGAGAAGGAGGGCGACCGTGGCAAGAGGAAGCAACGGGAGTCCCGCAGGAGTAGGCGCCTCGGGTGCCGTCCCAAAACATCCGGAGCGCCCCTTGAAGGCCCTCGGCGTGGACCAAATCGCCATCGGTCCACCGCAAAAGGCCGCCCACCTCCGGCCCTTGGGGACGAGAACGCCAGCTGCAGCCAAACATCTGGCTGACTGGGCGACCGACCGTGATAGTATTAAGAAGCCACGTCTGGAGCTGCCTGACTGACTCCGGGCCAGCTTCCAGCCCCCGTGACAGAGCCGGGGAATCGGCTACGCCGCGCAGCGTATGAGGGGCCGCGGCCTGCCCCTGGGGGCGTCAGGCGGCCCCGGGCC